AATAATAAATACTAATTGAGTGAAGGCTGTTTAACTAGCGAAATTAATTTTCACTTTGCAAAGTAAATTGTTACCTAGCTTAGCTTTTTTTATTGCTTGTACATAATTGAATTGAAATGAATACAGCGAACATTCATGTTGAAAAGTAAACATGATTTTTAAATCAACTCCAATGTGTTGTCTACCATTGTCAACCTCCTCTTTTGGCAAAGCTAGTTGTATGGATGTCCTTTTCAAGATGTTCTGACTTTTCTCTGACTTAATTTCCTGCATGCTTGTTCCTTATTAGTGGTCAGAGACAACAAGAATCTAGCATTCTCAGAAGGAGGCCAGAGACAGCACCCCCATATTTGTTTCATGAGAGATACTCTTTAATGTTCAATGCTCCAATGCTTAAATATGGTACATAGATTAAGTGCACATATTTGTGAAGATCTCTCCTGCAGTTTTCACCCTACCTGTGAATGTCTTATATCTCACACAAAGCTGCTTTTCTTACAGACTGGATCTGAGGCAGCAGCGGCAGCAGCCCTGGGAGATACACAGGGGAATCCTGAAACTAATCAGTCTGAAAACGCAGACTCTTCACGTCACGTCTTCTCCTTCTCCTGGCTTAATTCATTACCGCAATAATATTCCTTTTATGAGAAGCTGCTCTTGTCCACTGTGTCATTATACAGCTCCCCTATGTCCACTGTGAACAGTGCTACTACAGTACTGCAGCTCTCAATAATGCCACTGTTTATCTTTTTTTATCTATTCTTCATTTTATTTGTCAGCCTCTTAGTGATGGGAAATACTGGAATGTGTGATTGGCAATAGTAAGGGATGCAAAGTCGCCAGCACTTCAGACATGTAATTGCGTCTCACAATTTTTTTTAGTGTAGAACATCATCACAGACAGACATACTGACGGTTTAGGTGCCTGGCAGAGTCCCTTTCTCAAGGCAATATAGAGAGTCCCTCTGTGTCAACGTTCTACACAATCGAATTTATGAGATGCAATTACTTGTCTGGAATGCTGGTGACTTTGCATCCCTTGATGTGATTTTGGTGCAGTGCTAGTCGACGGTATCACTTTGAGCACCCACCTGTTATTTGAAGGTCTTGTACCATCAGGAGTGCAGCTTCATATATGGATAGATGAAAGTAGTCACTCGCACTCCATGATATTAAAGTCAATACTGAGATAACACACATCTCCTTAGCGAATGATTCGAGACCATGCGGTCCCGTCCTCAGGCAAACAGTAGACCAGGGGCGCCCACTTTGGGTTTTTGTCCGGTCAGGAGTGCGGTGGGACAGGAGGATTCAGCTTCATATATGAACTGAATTGATTGGCAATACTGACAATGCTTAACACGGCAAGGAAATATAGTGGACTCAGAGCTCAGAAATATGGGAGTTGCCAGGTTTAGTTTGGCTTCACTACATAGGGAACCACTGCCTTGAAAAAAAAGCATTCAGGACAGCAGGATGACAGCTCTGGTTCCTGCATCTTTAAACACAAAATATTTATAAAAATATCCCAAGCCAGTGGAAATTTATATAACAGGTATAAAACTGTTGCAACTGCAGGAAAGCTCACCTAGTGATGTATGCAAAAAAGAACAGAATAAAGCACTGGAGTTAACTGCAAAATGTGGTTAGCTCCAGTACCTTATTCTGTTCTTTTTTGCATCTTTAAAAACCAAGCCAGCCATTGGAGCACCTATATTTCTGTCCTCATAGGTTCGCTTTAAAATGAAGGCCAACATTTTAGAGGAAATCTGTCATCAAGTTAAATGCTTGTCTCAGAGGTCTATGATGGGAGCTACTGTTCTCTAAGGGCCCATTTACAACATTGTGCTTTAAAATGTATTTTCTTTTGTCTAATATGTATTTTTGGTTTTGGTGTAAAAATAAAAGTACTGACTGCATTACTCACTTCATTCCAGAGCTGCCCCCACAGAACTTCTTTTCCACAACTAGATGTCCTCAGTCTTCCAGCTTAAATGACAGACAATGTTTTTTAACCCACTTTCCATGACATTAGGTTGTCATGAACCTGCACAATGGCAGGATCTCATCAGGCAACCTGTGCTTACAGAACAGGAGAAAGGACCATTATCCACTAAGGAAGAAGACAAAGGACCATTAACATCATTGCACCAGTCTGCTGAATACAGCAAAAATGGGTACTTTTTAAATGTTTTGTATGTGGCTTTCACAGCTAGGGTATTTTGTATGCAGCTCCATGCCATAAAGCACATGTAAAATGCAAGTATAATGTATCAAACTGAATTTAAACCACATAAAAAGCACAGATGACGCCTTTACCATTGCATTAAAGAGTTCAGGGCATTCTGTAGGCGTTGTTAAAAGTGTGCTAAAACACACCTAAGTGCCAAAGTAGGAATGGTCCCAAATCCCAGGCTGGGTGGTAGTGCTGGGGCAGTGTGGCATCTACTGAGATTCAGTGAACATTTTTTGAGAGTCTATGGAATTAGTATGTTGCCTGGGAATCAGAGAATAACTGCTTCCATTTGAGGCTTCTCTAATTTAGCATGATGACAAATTTTCTTTTACCAACGTATTTGTAATAACAATGTGTCTGGAATGTCTTCAGCCTCAGAACATCCTCTCAACAGAGCTAAGTCTATTGACCAAGTAAGTTTATATCTGATATCTATACATGGAGTGACAGTTCACCTCCAAATTGTACTGACTGCTCTTCTTAGAGTGTGTATCCAGTAAACATACATTACAACTATGGAGAAAAATATTTGGAACAAACTTGTCCCGTCATTTAATAGTTAGCAGGTTATTCTGGGACGTACAGGGTTTCTAAATTTGGGCACACTCTACCTGATTCTTCTTGCTAGCAATGTAATCAGCCCAAGCATTGCTAGAGATTATTAGGATGTATGGGGAATAAAGGGAGCACAGATTATGCAGAGATTTTTAAGCAGACTTAGATAACTCTACAGTCTACAGTTAAACTGCATATCTAAAGTTGTTTTCAAACAGCACCAAAGAGACAAAGCTAACACTTCATAATGTATATGATAAACAAAAGACCTTGTGAGGAAATGTAATAGAAATTAAACACCAGTGACTGTGCAAGAGATATCATTCAGGTGGTTGGCTTGCTAAAATGTCAGAACTTAAGGCAGAAGACATAACATACTTAGCCTGAGTCACCTGCTCAGTTATTAACAATCAGGAACACATGAGGGGAGCTAGGTTTCAGTGAGCAGCACCCTGAAGTGTATCATACTGCTAGACATAGAATCTTTAGTTGTCAATTATTAAGAGTTTCAAGAAGAGATTGGATAAGTCTACAGGTAATCAGTAACAGGAACTATCATTTTACTGCATGTATGGTATCCATTCCTGACCTATACATTTGAATGTTCATCCTTCTTTTGAGCGTACACAGTAGGTAGCAGTCCTTCTACAAGTACCTTGCTGGCACTTATAGTGCAGAAAACACCACATCTAAGCTTATTTAATAAGGGAATATAAGGTTGAAACCTCAGCAACACAAAGCAATTAATAAGATTCCAACTTACCATAGTGATCCAAAGAAAAAGATGAACTCTCATTGGATGCTAAGGTTTTCTTAGATTGCAATAACCAATGAAAGGAAACCTGTGCTGCGAGGCAAAGTGAGGTTTCATTACTGATCTCTTCCTAAGTCCTAGATGCATGGCTGTTCAATGGTCTCAATACTTCAGGGTTGATTTACTAAAGGCAAATAGGCTGCTCTCTTTGTATGGCGATTTTCCCTTAGCTTAGTGAGTGTGGTGAACATTAATTTTGCAGAGAATACCCAATCATCTGCAAGGAAAATATATATATATATATATTTTTTTCCTTGCAGATGATTGGAAGGTTAAAGTCAGCAGAACGTTGCCTCTTTTACTAAGCTAAGGCAACAGCCTTCTTACCTTTAGTAACTCAACCCCCCCTTTGAGTCTCTGAGCCAGAACAAGTATGCAGACCCAGAGTTCTGACCATTCTCTACCTTCACTTGCTGCATGCTTGTTCTGGGGCAGAGACTCAGAAAGTATTGATACCAGAGAAAGTTGGTTTGTTGCCATTTTCAAAAGTTGGTCAACAATGAAATTCCATATATTTCTCTTAAATACACTTGATGGTCTTTTCATTACCTACATATAAATTCAATAATAAATTTATCAAAGCTGAGGCAGACAAACTCTGGAGCAGCTGTGCATGGCAACCAATCAGCTTCTCTCTTTCATTTTCAACTTTTAACAGAACAAACTGAAGAGAGATGCTGATTGGTTGCCATGCACAGCTGCTCAAGATTTTGTCTGCTCCAGTTTTGATAAATGTCCCCCAAAGTGATTTGTTAGTGCAACAGCCATAATAAACGGCATGAATGCTTGGCAGGTCTGTAAGCAGATGCAGGTTCCTTGCAGGATTCAAGTCCTAGAGATCTAGACCTTTGTGTTTTTAATCAGGTGATACAGTCAGCTATAATACTGCAGAAAGTGCATTCATCCAGAATAACCAATGACATTTCAGATGAAATGTGGGATCACATCAGCAACAAAGGAATTCCTATCGGTTGCTATGGGTTACAGCACTTGCCTTTTGTTTTTTAGCAGCTTATGGATCAAACTGGAACTCAGAAAGACTGTGTAGATGTGAGAGCTCCTTCTCTGCACTGACAATACAGAACAGTGTAAAGTTGAATTAATAAGGGTTCTGTGACTCAGCCATGCAGCAATTCCACTGCAACAACCTGTTTTGTATCTACATCATTCTTCTTTTCACACAGTAAAAGTTATGACTTGCAGTCTCTCTAGGGGAGGTCTTGTTTTATTGTTTTGTTCCGGCCACCTCTGAGTTTTTAATCTCATTCCTTTGTGTTGGATGTAAGTGGGTGGACAGTGAAAGCTAATTGCTGTATTTTTCATTTTGCAGGAAAATACAGGACCATGCTTTGCCCAATAACAAAATGGACAGACCGTAGCTTTGCAGATTTTATTAAAAATATAGATAGATATTAAACGTTATGTTTACACACCAATGTTGTGCAAGCTCTGAAAAGATGTTTTTTTTTATTATGGAAATGTATACAATAAACTTTTGATGCAAAATAAATTACAGCTATGTTTTTTTTTTCGTTTTTTTTCTTTCTCCACTTCCCAGATCAATTGCTCACCCAGGGACCAGCAGCAGGGCATTGCTTGGCAATGTGATGCTGGCCCCACAGGCACCCAAGGGGCTGCGGAGTGCATCCTCTATGTCTGAAGCTATAGAAAAATAAACAAATGGTATCAGGGCAGCACAATGGTACATCATACTGTATAGTTTGTGCTAGATGGAGGAAACTATTTGGTAGATGACAGCTGGGGGGCTGTTATTTCCCAATGATGTCCATCAGTTTCCTGTTGCTGTGGGCTTGCTGGGCTATCTGCTCGGCTCTGGCCATTTCCAAGACTTCCCGCAGCAGATGGAAAGTGAGATCCAGGGAAATCGGGGGCTCTTCGGCACGTTTTCCTCTTTCCGTGGGCTCCTCCTGAGCGCTGAATGGGGAGTCCGCTCCGTCCACGATGCCAGAGCTCCTGAGCTCCTGCTGGCTGCTCCACTGCTGAGGCTGCAGCTGCTGCACAGCCCGCACAAAGTTACTGGGCGAGACGTCCCCGACACGGCCGGCTCCGACGGAGCTCAGAGGGTACTTGTGGAGGTTCCCCAGGCGAAGGAAATACTCTTCTCCCATACGGAGTAGAAAGGGATGGTATTCGGCCAGGAGAGGCGGGGGAGCCCCATTAGAAGAGGCTGAAGATTTGCTGAAAGCTCTGCACTCATGACAGGGGAGGAGAGCCACCAGGAGGATCCCCGTACACACTAAGCTTTGGAACTTCATGCCAGATGAGATCTAGAACAGAACACACGGGTAGACCTGGAGGGGGAAGAACAGGGGACAGTGAAGAAGACATAAGGGTACAGAGGGGGGCAAGAAATAAGGGGAAAGGGGGGAGAAAACAGAGAATGGTTGGTGTCTGATCTGCTCTCCTTGGTGCTGAAATTCCTAAACTGCGAGCTGGTCCTATAGGCACAGAGCCATCAGCATCCTTACCAAGGCAAATCCCATCACTATTCAGGTATCACCATCATACAGACAGATCCTATCATACTGCTACACACTTCATATCGGATCTGACATCTGTAGTCTGCATTATGATTGTACGATCCGATACATGGCATACATTACATGTAAGGCTGATGACATGTATTCATTATTTCATTATCATATCTGCTGGCAACACCAGAGGAATTTACTGTATTACCAACCTGTAGTGCTCTGTGCATGACTTCTAGATAAAGTAATAGTAAAGATAATCTCAGGAATGTACTGGTCCTGTCACCTGCTGCAATAAAAGCTCTTACATCCCTGCCATATCTCAAAGATCATATCGCAGAAGAACACATCTTCTACTACTACATGCCAGTCACTGCAATACCTGCCTTCTCAATGCCAATATAATTGTTGCACTGCATGTTACTGGCAATTGTGTCATATGTTTTATTATGATAATAGGAGTTCGAAGAATATCTGTTAACATTATTGCTGGATACAGCGTTGTGTCACTATTTAATCAAACGTCAGTCCTATTAGCTCTTAAAATTCACACTATGTTAATATCTAATACTAATAGGACATGCTGCACTACACTGTATGGTGGAATCAGTCATGGATCGATGGATCACATCAGCCACTTATATGTATTGAATAATAACACTGATGCGAAAATTCATCTCTCGGAACTCAGAAGACCACATTGTATATTCCAGTAGAAGAACTCCGCTAATACATTCACAACTTGAACGACTTCACAAACTGTACCAAAACTGACCACACTCCCATCAATCACATCAAATACCTGAGCTTTTCACCAATATTTCAATCGACATCATTTCTTTTACTGCAAAGTAGAACTTTAATTACCTGACTGCTTTATATTACAAACCTGCCTAGATCTGTCACTAATAATGTTATCGATACTGATCGGTGCTGATCATCACAATGTAAACTACTGGTACATACTGTTCTAAATAGTGACTCTAATATAAATATATACTAAACATCACATTGTAGACTGTCCCATTACTGACTATATATACTGATCTATATATATAATATATATCTATAGATATAGATATAGAGATATATAGATATATCTCTATATCTATATCTATAGATATAGATATATATCATCACATCCGATACGAGAATACTAGCATACAGTTCCCATAATAGCATACATTGCAAAACTTAAGCTATCAGATCAGATCCAGCCACATTAAGACTTTGTAATTCTCACCTACAGCAGAGAAGGGATTCCCTCTTCCAACAATCATAGGAAGGGCAATCCCACATAATAATAAGCTCACTTACAGCTGACTATAATAGGGTGAAGTTGCCTGCCTTCCACCTACAATGACAATAGAGAGTTAGCACTCACTTGTTGGCTGAGGGTCCTCTTGTCTGGATGGTGCTAGAGACACAGGCACAGTATCACAGCATGAAAGGTGAGTGATATGTATGTTCCTCTCTTCCCTAGGATGACATAACTGGAAGTTGTAGCAGGGCTCTCTCACACAAGGAAGCCTTGATGCTGGATTTTATAGCTAGACCCTCTTCCACAATCACGCAGCTCTTGCCTAATAAGCTGACGCTCTCTTGACAACTATTGCGTGCTGATCCTCTACTGAATAAATAATGTCTCCTTGGAGCAATGGGCAGAGTTTTGCTAACACAACAATGAATCTCACATCCAATTATCTTGCCAGATATTTATCGCCACTTTAGTGACGTCAGTGACACCTAGAGTGGAAGCGATATTCACGAGGCTCCCATTGACAAAAAAAGCTGAATGAAATGTTCTAAGTGTGCTAAGCAATAGCCAGTGACCTTTCTCTAGCAGAGGGTACAGTGACCCCTATTATATCAGTTACCACCAGCCCAGCTGATGCCATGTACCCATGGAACACCTTCAGTGGCCACTTTTTAAGGATAATTACAGAAAAGTGAGAGTAAGTAGCTAATTACACAGTCACCTTTTAACATGCATTTTAGTATAAGTTAGAGGTTGCATTTAATCACTCATTTACTATGTATCTTTTTTTTTTTACATTTAAGGTTTAATTTACAGCTGCACACAGAGCAACTGCAGCCAGCCAGCAGCTTGCAGGCAATATTTGCTAAATTGCTAGGGTTAGCCAAACATCTTTGTGATTCCTTTTGTACTCTAATAAGGCAGTGCAAAACACTGATGATGAGCAAACTGCAATAACCCACAGCAACCAGTCAGATTTGTGTTTCCGGTAGTTGCATAAACAAAGTACACTATATATAGCCAAGCAGCTTTCAGTGAAGATTTGCTAAATTGCTAGGGATAACCAAACATCTTTCTGAATTGCACTATAATAAGGCAGTGTAAAAACACTGATGATGAACAAACTGAAATAACCCATAGCAACCATTCAGATATATGTTTACTGTAGTTGCAAGGTTGACAGGTTGCTATGGGCTACTGCACTTTTCCTATTATATGGTTCCTTCCACTCTCTATGGCTGAACACAGATATTAGAAGGTGCACAGATCTGCAGGTATGATATGATTGCTTTCAGGCTTTCCTGTCTCTCAGTAAACCCATAACTATACATGTATGGATCTTGTGCATATGCATATCTATGCTTTGTAGGGGGTAGGGACCACAGCCAGACACATCTGGCTCTGGCTTATCTAGGGGAAAATGATAGCAATTGAACCCATATACATGAAACAGTTGCAAATGTCTGGATTGGAAAATTGGCTTCTTATATCGTATAAGAAGCCACTATGATGTGCAGTTACTGTACCCATAATAAACAGACAGAATTTACCAATTAGAAGTTTAGCAAATCAGATGACTGAAGCTTTTTTTTTTAATTAGTTGCTATTGGGTAGTAAGCATCCCTGCTGTTCATAGTGTTATTAAACCTAAATATCAAAAAGGCTTTTACCAGATTGCATTAACAGAAAGGTCAATGGTGATAATATAAACACGTAGGAAAGAGAAATGCATTACTTTAATATAGCAGCCAATAGAATATCTTCTTTCATTTTCTAATATTGACAAAGCAAATCAGCAGCAAGAATATGACTGTTCAAAACAGACATCTATTTTCATCCACTACTTATAAACCAACTCCAATGTATTATTACATATTATTGATCACAGGTTACATTTTTAGCCAGTACCTAGTTGAATAATTACAAATTAAATAAAAAATATCAAATACAAATGTTCTGCTTATTTTGAGATTGTAAAAAGCACAGTAAACTTCCCCATTAGGGAGAGTATGGTTTGCATTCTAAGGGAATCACATTTTTTTTCTGAGAAAAGTGGTAACATAAGTCAGCTAATGTTTTTTTGCTATTGAATCTATTTTCTGTACTAGCAGCATGTTGCAATTAACTGTTACATTATACATGGTCCAGTTCTCATTTATCTGGAGAATATCTGAGTCAATACTGAACCATAATAGGGACATTTGCAATTAAATGAATATGAGGTTAAATAGAAAAGAAGACTATTGATTTAAATACAACCAATTAACAATGTTTACATGCAATAGTACAGCATCCTGTTTGTAGTCTATGACATCGCACACCCTAAAAAAAACTGTGTAGGTAACCACCCCTCCACCTGATCATTCTGAATGAAAGCACAGATACCTGCTCAGCTATGAAATACTATTAGGGGCATGAAGATCTTTGAACAATAATGAGCTAATGTTCTTAAAGAGACCCTGTCATCAATGTCAAAAAATGCAGGTATAAGCACAGAAAAATCAAGTATTTTAAATGCTTGCTTGTAGTGTTTTTCCTTTCCATAAATCATTCACTAGCAATGTGCCTTTGTATTTTCTAGAAAATCTGACTACTTCAGGAGAGTCAATTTCCTAACACAGCTCCCTCCTTGTACTCCATAGCCCTTTCCTGTTCTGAGAGTGTCTGATTACTCTCTGTGCTCAGTCAGCATCTTCACCCGTCCCCCTTCTGGGGCTTCTGACATCACATCTAAGATGGCAGCACCCGACAGCAGCCTTTTGGATATCTACACAATGGAGACTGTTACAGGTAAATAACATGCATAAAATACAATAAATGCACATATAATAATGCAGTAAGATATTTGCTGAAATTAAAGGTCTGGTGACAGGGTCTCAGGACTTTTTCTTAAAAAAAAAGTCATTCTAAAACTGGCGTATGTACATGTAAAGGAATTAAACCTATCCTTTTTAATAATAGGCATTGCACTGCTCAATGCCAAGTGGTAGCTGAATAGACAAATTAAATCATGAGGCGTGTAAAACAGAAGATTAAACACATGATGGTTATGTATTGCTTCTGTTATGATTAGATATAATTACTATCTTGGGGTTTTCTTTTGCCTTACTCTTAACCAAAGTAACAGGAGCTTTGACAGATTGAACTTGATGGAAACGATGGAAACTAGTCTTATTTCAACGTATTAACTCTGTAATATAATACTATTTGCCGTTTTGTACAGTAACTCAACATAGGGTCCCCTAGCTGATAACTTCCTCCTCCCAGTCAAGATAATCTTCCCCACTGCCCCCTCCCTTGGCTATGATTCCACAATGACTATTCTTCCAAAGTTCTATGATCTGATCCTTCTTATCCTCCTCTATACCCTGTCCATAATCAGCTCCCACTCTGTTGCCTTTCTCATCTCCCAGGTCCATGGTCAGCTCCCCCTCTCCTCTCCTCTATCAGGTCTATGAATACCTCCCACTCTTCCTTCTATCATTATCTAGGTCCATTATTATCTCCCACTCAGCCTCCTATCTCATCACCCAGGTCCATGATCAAACCCCATACTGCCTTCTCTCTCATTTCCCAAATACATGATCAATTCCCACTCTGCCTCCTCTCTCATCATCAACCATTTCTTTCTATTGTTTTAATGTGCAATATTTTATAGTCATCTGACTTTTCTGAAAAGAAAATATATTTCTGCACTTTTATTTTTTTAACCTTGAACATAAAATAAAAAGAAAGAAATATGGGCAAAACAGCTATACATTCCCTCTAATTCACTTATGTTTTCAATAAGAATAATAAATATATATATTTTAAATAATGCTAGTATAAGTACATCAATAATTCTTCTCTTAACTTTCCATATTACTATAATCCCTTGGATATCGGGACAGGACATAAAAAAAATGTCATTGCACACCAGCCCTAAGGTTAACACCCTAAAATTAGCTAAGGAAAAAAAATATAGGAAGCAGTTCATTAAACGTTAGGGTGGAGTAAGGGTCAACAGATAATAGAGACGTCTTTTATAAAAATAATAAAACTATTGCTGTAACTGCTTGAAAATTGTTAGCTGGAGTTCCAAGGGTGGCTCCATTGCTTCTCCATGGAGTGGAGCCACCTGGAGACAGAAATGTGTTACTGGTTGGACTACCAAGACTACCAGGTGTAAGTAAAGGAAAAGCCTTAAAAAGAAAATCTATTCAGCCATAGCATCTAAGGACTGGTAAGCTGCAATCTATTCAATTTTTGGTTTTGGGTTTAGATACGCTTTAACATCAGCAAAACCTAATGCATAGAACAGCCATACCCCTTTTCACTAAAGAAACAAAACAAAAATGTCCATTGGTGTAATCCACTAGTCAATCACATCGTCCAGCAATGTAGATCCTCATCAATCACAATGGACGGTAGCCGCCGATTCCCTGAAATAAAAAATTCCCGACTCCCACGAAATATCTGGTCCTGACAAACACCGGCCACAAAGTGACAGCCCTGCTCCCGAATGTCAACAAAGGGGCGAAGGGAATTGTGATGTCTCATGACTTGATCCACCCATTTGTTTATAATCTTTGACAGCTCTCCGTCCCCTAATGGAATGCAAACAAATGGGTGGAACAAGTCCTGTGACGTCACAATTCGCTCCATCCCTTTGTTGACATTCAGGAGCAGAACTGTTGTTTTCTTCTTCAAATGAACATAAACTAAGTATTGGATGACATAATGATGGATAATCTTATGCAGAGTAAGCATGGGACGGTAGTTCAGCATTAACCAATAACAGATAAACACTGATGCATACAAAATTGAAACTAAAACTACTCTGTCATTCCCCGGAATTCACATGACTCCCAGTAATCTTTTAAACTCAAAAAACTTATTACAGCTTAAACAAGTGTTCTAACTTGAGACAAATAAACTTTTGCTAATATTACATTCACATTATCCCCTCAGATTCATTATAGTTCAGCCCCAATGGTCATTTGGGAACTTCAATAAAATAAATGTGGAGAGTTTCCTGATCCAAGCAGCTTTTTCTTTTGGAGTTACAAATCAGATTACAGCCCCTCTACTATTGATTTTCCATCATTGATTACTCACTAATAGAAACATTAATGTAATAAATAAAACTGAGACATACATTGTCCCATTAGTTTTTGATGTATGCTGATCATTGCCTGGTTCTGTTCTGTAAATATTGGTAATCAGACAGAAGGGTCTATTAGTTTTGCAACACCACACATTCTCAAGGGATCTAGATCCTCTATGAGAGTTTGTTGTCCCTGTGAAGCTTTCATGGATAAAACCTTTGTGTAGGCTTTATGTTTTACTACCTCAATAGAGTAACTGAAACTGTGCTTTAGTAACCCACACTGCTTCTTTTATGAAAACATAATTCTTAGCAAAACAGTGA